CCCTTTCTCTGGAGGAGATGGGAATATCAGGACAGGATTGGATTCCTAACAGCCCAATAGCCCCTTATTTCCATGGGACTGGTTTGGGATGTGACTGTACATTTCCCAGTTTATGGCTGGCCTCTGCTGCTTAGCCGAAGGCCTTAGCCTAAGAACCAGGCCTCAGACTGTCACAGTGGGAGAAGGCCCTGACACCGGCAGACAGTGATTTTTTTTATTCTTTCTTTTATACCTCTAACTAGCTTAGTGATCAGAATACACCTACATTTTTAAAGTATAGGCCTTTGCAGACAGGCCTGGATATCTCTATCCTAACAAGTAAGACGCAGAAAGAGTCTGTTGTTACTCAGGAAAATGTTCCTTTCGAGCAGTGGTTCCCAAACTGGGGTTCAGGAAATGTTCCAGGGGGTTCTCGGGAAAAAAATCCCTAATGGCGGCCAGAGGTGTCCCTAGGGACCCTGGGCAGCACGGGGCCAGCAGCTCCCAAGAGCTAAGCAGATCGAAGAAAGCATACCTATCACCCTGAGGAGATTTAAACGTCAAGACTCCTATAAGAAATGGAAAGGGAGGTGGACATTTTTTGCTGTTTTTAAAATTAAATAGGCAGCTAGTCTTGTTTTTAAAATTATTGTGAAGAACAAGTTTAAGCTTTGTTGTAACGTGCATTGTTTGTAGGGTGACCAGATGTCCCGATTTTATAGGAACAGTCCCAATTTTGGGGTCTTTTTCTTATATAGGCTCCTATTACCCCCTCACCCCCATCCCGATTTTTCACATTTGATGTCTGGTCACCCTCATTGTTTGCCTGGGTTGCTCAAGACCTGAATGCTTGTGTAGGAGGAACTCTTTGAGTTGGCTTCTTAAATACCTTCCTGCTGTTTCCCATCTGATACTCCTTGATGAAACATAGGAGCCTTGGCTTATAACAGGCTTATTCAAAGTGATACAAGCTACAAAAGTGAGATTTTGGAAGAGTGTTAGAATCATAGAATCATAGAAGATCAGGGTTGGAAGGGACCTCAGGAGGTATCTAGTCCAACCCCCTGCTCAAAACAGGACCAACCCCAACCAAATCATCCCAGCCAGGGCTTTGTCAAGCCAGGCCTTAAAAACCTCCAAGGAAGGAGACTCCACCACCTCCCTAGGGAACCCATTCTAGTGCTTCACCACCCTCCTAGGGAAATAGTGTTTCCTAATATCCAACCTTAACCTCCCCCACTGCAACTTGAGACCATTGCTCCTTGTTCTGTCATCTGGTACCACTGAGAACAGTCTAGATCCATCCTCTCTGGATCCCCCTTTCAGGTAGTTGAAAGCAGCTATCAAATCCCCCCTCATTCTTCTCTTCTGCAGACTAAACAATCCCAGTTCCTTCAGCCTCTCCTCATAAGTCATGTGCTCCAGCCCCCTAATCATTTTTGTTGCCCTCCACTGGACTCTTTCCATTTTTTCCACATCCTTCTTGTAGTGTGGGGCCCAAAACTGGACACAGTACTCCAGATGAGGCCTCCCCAGTGCCGAATAGAGGGGAATGATCACGTCCCTCGATCTGCTGGCAATGCCCCTACTTATACAGCCCAACGCCCAACACTTAAACAGTGTTGCTGTTTTCATCATGTAATAAAAATACTCTAATGATAAATAATAATTAATAATAAATCATGTGTAATAGGCATGTCATGAAAACAAATGTTGTATTTCCAAGATCACGGCTTTTATAATTTATACTCGGGCAAAGGAGAAAATCCCTGGAAATATTCATTTCTAGGAGGGGGTTCGCGAGACTTGCCATTTTAGTGAAAGGGGTTCACAGGTTGTTAAAGTTTGGGACCCACTGCTTTCGAGCAAGCCCTACATGAAGAGGGTCAGGTCAAAGGTTCTGTAACAGTTAAATTGTTACGTAAAGAAGTTCCTGGGGAAAGGAACCCTCATGACGGTCTTTGCAAGCGATTTGCTACAGCTGAAGGGTGTGAAAGTGACTCAATCAAGGAAGTTTCAGTTCCTAACCGCCAGAAATTTTCCGTGGTGAATGGATCCACTGACTTTCCTTTTGAAAGAATAACTTTGAGAAGGTCTCAGGTGGAGTAAAAGCTGTTAAGAAAGTTGAACAGCCCGATGACCAAGTGGCTGGGTTTGGCCAGCTTGTTGGGGAGACAAGGGTGTTGAGAGAGAAATGTCTCCGTGCTGTTTCTGGGAGTGAACAGTCTGCGTCTCGGGTTCAGAGGGAAGATGGGGTAGCTGAGTCTGCAGAGCAGGACGGCTATGCAGTTAATCTCTGGAGAATGCAAGAGATGGCAGGTGTACGTTCATCTCTAGACACGTTGGATATGACTTGTGAACTTAACATCTAACTCCATGTGGAAGGGAAGGACAACAGAACTTTGAGTCTAGCTTGTTGGTGAAAAAGGACGGTATCTCTTTAGGACAGAGTCCAGCCTTGGAAGTGGTAACCGTTAAGGATCTGAAAACTGGTGAAGTGGCTCCTGTCTGTGTTGATGAACATCACATGGCTGACTGGGAGAAGAAGGGCACAGAAAGCAGTGAATTCTGTTGAGGAAGAGAAATCAGGGTTTGATCCTGCAGGACAAGGAGGAAAGAGAAAACTGAATTTTGCAAAGGGAAGCCACAGGGTTAACCCTAAAATGCCCAAACCCCAATGGTATTGAGCCAAAGGTGTGGCATAACAAACATGATTGTAGATGGACACTTGCAATGGATTTGTTGTTATTGCTAATGGTAATTTTTGTAACTAATGTGTTGCTATTACCAAGAACTGTAAAAATGTACAAATCCTAGAAGATCAGGGTTGGAAGGGACCTCAGGAGGTATCTAGTCCAACCCCCTGCTCAAAGCAGGACCAATCCCCAAATATTTTTTTTGCCCCAGATCCCTAAACGGCCCCCTCAAAGATTGAGCTCACAACCCTGGGTTTAACAGGCCAATGCGCAAACCATTGAGCTAGCCCTAATCTTTTGAAAAATCCTTTGAACATGTTAAAAGGAATACATGAGAACACACGTTATGTTCAAAGGCCTTGTTATACGGATGTTTCACAGTTAGTGCCTGTAAACAGTATTGGAACTTTTCACAGGGGAAAAGACATTCCAGAGCTAATGTGCTGTATGGAAAAGGGAAACTGAGGCACACTACCAGATTGCTTTCACGGCTAAATGCCAACATTCCTGTACTATGAAGAACATTAATATCTGCATTTATTTGATGTTAATTGGGTTCCAAACATTGGCCAGAGCTTGTATGGACAAAGTAGCTGTTTGCTTTAGCTCTTGGCGAGATCACATGAGACATACAGGAACCCTGCTGCAAGAGCAGATCCAATCCACTATTGTTCTAACCAAGTTTTACCTTGAGTTTGTAAAGAGATTGTCATGTTATTGAACATGACTTTGATGAACCATTTCTGTTATATGCTGGTACGGCTTCTAACCCAATACTAGCTGTAGTGAGACAGACCCAAGGATGGGGAGCTCTTGGGATGCAGTCAGCGATGTTTGTGTCATCCCTTCCTGCATCAATTTTGCATTGGGGGTGTGACGTTATTAACTTGAACTGGGACCGTATAGAACATGGTTGCAACCAAGGTCCTGTAGTGGCACCAAATCTTGTATAAAGGGGGTCAAATGAGGTGTCTAAGACAAGGTTATGGTTGGCTGGTTATGATTATGCTGTCTATAT